TGTCAGACACCAGACCGGATACCAAACGTTTCAGAGAGATTGTTGTGGACCGGAACTCGTGCGGTGGTGGACCAATAGTAGGCCTTAATCGTGGCAATGAAATTGGTCGGTACTTCTATTTTCGCCACAGGGACTCACGGTGGGTGGAATCGAATGCGGCGGCGAAGTCGACAAAGCAAACAGCCGTTGGCTGGTGGTAGCTATGATGCAATTCTAGAATGCGCCTCAGCTTAAATATCCCATCCGCACATCTACGCCCAGCGCGGAATCTGGCTTGGTTGGGCCGTGTCCTGGAGTCACGTAAATACTGGAAGCGCCTGAGAAGAACAATAGCGAAGATCCTTGCAGCAACGTTGATAAGACTTATGCCCGCCTTCCTGGTGATCAAAAGCAACCACATGATATAAATCACTTTGCTTTAATGCCTTTAGTTGTAAACATAGTGCGTTTTGTAAGCAAAAATGATACAGATAATCAGAGTCCTTGATTTTGTACAATTTACCGTATGTCGAATATCTATATTAGAAAAAATTACATACCTCCAGTAAATATATCCTTACTTAATCCTCTTATGCTTTCCAGCGAGCAGTAGAGGACATAAAATGGGTAAAGGATCTATTCTAGTCTACAAGCATTGAACAACAGCTGGGCGCAACTTTCAAATCCTTAAAAGTTTATTGCAAAAAAATACGAATGGTGGAAGCAGGCCACAGGACTGAATAAAATAATGCAGTCCAGGATATACAGCAAAAGTAGAGACTGTGTGCTGACAAGAAAAGACAAATAATAATAATTGTCTTAATTTAGTTGTGGAGCCTGCCTCCAATGTAAAATTAATCGCTGGAGATTTCAAATTTCCTGAAATAGATTGTTTCTTTTAAAGTTCTCCGCCTAGATTTCCGGTGTTCCCAAAATATTATCAATTTTTCCCAACTGGTCTCAGCTTGTGTGCTCTCCAACAAGAGATAATCACATTCTGGTGACAGTCACATTTCAGGCCCTCTTTGCATAAATGCATATGTATTTCGTAGTGCTAAGCAAGCTTTTTCACCAATAAGGCACGATACATTCCATCTTTATTGCACTCCCCACACGGATTTTTTTAGCGACCTGTAGGCACTTTGAGTTTTTATTCTTTGTAGTTTTAATTTATTATACAGTTTTATTATTTTGGGTTTACTTTTTGTTTACTTAAGTAAAACTAAATTTAGCTTTTTTAGTTATTTTGGTATAAATTTATATTACTTTTACTTTCATATACAAACGGCAAAGCAGATATTAAACTGCAAGTAATTTATTGGTAGCTTGAAGGCACTAGAAAGTAACGTTGAAGTTTACATGCGAACGCATGCAGCTCCCTAAATATGGTTAAGCGTCTTTACTGGGTCCCTCGAGGACCAGATCCAGGATGTCAGCTCATGTCTAGAGTCGGCTGCACTGTCAGATGCGATAAGAGGCTCTGCAATATTTCCCGATCTGCTCTCGTTGCCTACAAATTTTGAAAAACATTCTCATGAAGATCTATTTTTAAAAATTTCATACAACGACAATGTATAAAGGATCGACAATATGGACATAAAACCAAGTACTTTGGGTTACAGTCTATTATAGGGATTACCGAGTGAACTAAATCACCGGAATTATGTAGTATGGAACCAGTGGTAATAGAGGTAATGCAGGTAGAGCAATACAGGAGCGCAGGTGAAAACAAAATAAAAGAAATATATCAGGCAAAAGAAGGAAATAGAAGATAAAATTAGTCTGAAAATTTAATATATCGCAATGGAAAAGGGTGTTATAGGTAAAATAAATTCAAATAAAAATCAAAAAGTTACATTAAGTTAATGAACATAATAATACCTTAAAATTAAGAATACAATGCCGTTAACGTCGGTAACGCATTACAGAATTCTTGAGTTTCTGGTTTCCATGCCAAGCCCTATAACAGACTCTTATTGGAACAGTTTGCTAGGGAGCGCACGATAGACGTCATTGGATAGGGCAGTTGCACGGTCAGCTCACCTTCATCGTGAGTCCCTGTCGATTTCTCGGACGTTGATGACCGTGTTTTAGGTGGTGATCAACATTCGCAATGCAGATGGTATTGTCTCTAGAATGTGTTGCCTCTGTGGCTACAGTAATTATTCGCTACCCTATGGGTCTCGCTGGATGGTTGATAAAAGTCCACGCGATGACTTCTGTCAGCAGAATGTGCCAGGATTACGATGATCATCCGGGTGTGGAAGTATAGGTGGTGAGGGGGGAAAGTTATCGGTCTGCAAAAGCCGACGGAATTTTATGACGGTACTGATGCATATCACGCCAGCTTCCTGAACCATTTCCATCAATTTATGCTGACCATAGCCTTTATTCTACCATGACCATCTGTTTCAAGTGTTTAGCGGGGAAAGCTCCGTTTTTTTGACGTCAGTCAAAAATTCAATTCGACAAAACGAGTTAGGCCCTCTATGCATTTAACAGTGAACTGTTCCAAGATATGGCTTCGAATGCAAACAATTCTTTACCCAACACAATGATATTGAAGAGGTCTTCAACTTGGACTACCCAGGATTACTGTTTTGGAAAGTCCTCTCGATAGCTCACCTATTTCCTCACCTCCGGATACGTCACCTCCACTGACTCAGGGCTATGTGCTCTCTCTTTAACCTCCTTTGGCATCCCATTCCTCGACTCTCTTCCTGAGCATCACTTCCTCTGTGGACATCTCATCACTCTCCCATCTACCCCTCCATTTTGAAACATCCAAAATGTATGGTCTATCCTCTTTCCCCAATCCTTTGTGCGCTCATGTTTTCAGACACTGGCGCATTCTTCAGTGTCATTTCGGACTGCTTTCGCTCTTGATCAAAAGTACTACGCTGACCACCTTTTCTTACATTTGTGAGCACTCACGTTGCCTGTGTGGTGCTGCGAGCATCAATTCACGACTTAGGTAGCTATTGCTTGCTAGATTGAGATTCAACAAGTCAACAAGCTCATGGTCGTGTGCGATCCTGCGGCGATTTAAATTCCCGAGAGATTACGGCCCATGCCTTTGCTCAGAGAACAATGACGGGTTAGGGTTTCTGTTATTACCTCTGATGATGGATCTGCGACGAATTTAAAGACGTCAAGCGAATAAAATTATTGTCCCGCCAATCAAATCTGCTTCTTCTCAGCGTTGTTTCTTTCTTACTGATCACGCCTACCTCTCCTCGGGCACCTATAATCCTCCAAACGCTTCTAGAAGGGCTGCAGGAAATTCGCCTCCACAACTGACTACCGGAGATTACTCCACTGTTTTACTACCCGTTGCGTAAGGAATTCAGAGCGAGGATCCAATCTGGACATTTT